CCCCAAAACCCCAAAACCCCAAAACCCCTTATTCTCAAAAATTATTGAAATTATCTTTAAGGGGCTTAAGCTCCTTCACTCCCCATTACCACTTTCTTTTCCTTGGCTTCCAAAATTTTGACAACTCCACTAAACCAATCTTTTCGCATACTAAAAATCTCAATAAAATGCCTTAAACTCCCACACAAAAAATCCTTCTCATGCTCCTTACTAAATATCGACTCTCTCACATTCCACACAAGGTACCTAAAGAATGCTCTAGTGACGCAGTAGATTATGCCACAGATGGTTTTGTCTAAGTGGGGGTTGGACTGGGAGAGGGATTTGAAGTGGGTCTTGTACTCGATGCAGCACTGCATGAATTTGTAAGCACTGGAGATGTAGAGTTTGTTAAGGGTTTTGTTGGAGAATTCTCTGCTGGTGATGGTTTTTCTGAAATAGTGGGTGATGTTGTTCATTAGAAAGGCTTTTAGCTTTCTTTTAAGCCACATAGATGCTTTCTTGGTCTGCATGTTCATGTTGAGAGTTCAGAGAATTCCTTTTCTTCTAAGGTTCATATTTGGTGTTAAAGCCATAGTTGTCATATCAATAGAGATCCCAATCCAGTCTATGTATTTATGGGCTATGTTCTGGTCTTCAACAGATGTTATTCCGTATTTTGCCAATTTCGAAGGATCTAGAGGAAAGTTTGTCTGTAGTTTTTTCATATTAAACTTGAATCTGTTGAGACTGGAGACTTCGGTCAGTTTCTCGATGAAAAGGACAGCATTACTCTTTTTGGTGGTAACAAGCAGATAGTCATCAGTCAGACGCATTAAGAGAGTTATGTTAGGATTAATAGTATCCATAGATTCTTTTCTTAAGTAGCCTAGTGCATGCTCCTCAAGACTTGCATAGTAGAATGAAGAGAGAATTGAAGACACTCATAATCCTTGTGGGATTCCTTTTGTCTGTTTGTAATACTTCCTATTGAACTCAATGTAGTTGTGCCGACAAATCTCAATAACTGGGTCTAACAATGCCTTCTTCTTGTAAGGATCTCTCTTCTGGTTCTCAACCAAGAGAGTCTTCTTAGCATTCAGCTCATTTTGGTCATTCTCAAGTACATCTAAAAGTGATGGACTCTGGTTGCTTTCCAAAGCAATCTTGTGCCATTTCTGCCTGAAGCAATCCTTCATCTTATTTTCTCTCACATTTTTCTTGATCTACTACTTCTGCGTTATTCTTTTTCATTGATTGTATGGTCATTATTCTGAATTCTGAAGAGAGAAGCTGAGTGGTGCCAAGAAATTGAGAAAGTTTTTCTCTGTCAACGCTATCATATCACTTCTCAATATCCATGGTCACAAAATAAAGTTTCGGCCTGCCTACCTGCCTCCACTTCAGCACGAACTCTTCGTACTTGCGCATCACATCATCGTAGTTGAAGACTGCAAAGCCGAACGGATCTTTAAACATCCTGTTCTTCAGAGTCTTCAGCATCAAGTGGGAATAAAACAGCTTGGTGTTTGTAGTCATCTTAGACGCTTTGCCATCTGGGTCAACAATCTTTTTATTAAAAGTCATAATGGGCCTGAAAGTAGTTTTCTTGGGAATTAGCCTGAGCTTACCTGGTGCAAATCTAAGTTCATTTTTCCATTTGACCATATCCTCTTTTGATACCTCCTCTAGAGTTTCTCTGTTCAGGTCAGCAATACTATACTTCATGACAATATCCCAAATATTCTTCCTGTAGTAATAAGTTTCTGAGTAACTTTTCTGTTGCTCTGTGACATAGAAGAAGCATCTAATAAGGGAGACTACAACATCTTCAAAGATCCATTTCAGGAAAAACCATAACACAAATCTGTTCTCTTTATCAAAATAGTGATAGTTCTTCTTGCTAGTTTTAAACTCTAGCCATTTTATACTACTAATGTCGAGCTTGCCAACAAGAAGATTCTTTGGAATTATCTCATTCTTATTTAGCCCAACATATCTCTTGATCTTCTTCTGGAAGCTCTTTTTGTTCTTTCCAGTCATGAAGTCTTTAGGCAATGTATGGTAGAAGAACTCATTCAGGAATTGAGTCACACATTTGTTATCTATTGTGTAACTGAAAAGTTCTTCATAATATTTAGCCTTTTTCAGCTTGTCATCATTGAGATGTGATAAAATAACCTTCTTACGCTCAATCCAGTTTTCAGGAAGAGGGCATGATTTGGATAAATAGTATCAAAACCTAAACTTCTTGATCTTTTTAACCATATGAGTCAGAATATTTGTAATATTAGTCTTTAGTTGCTTTCTGATTCTATTAAACCTGAAAATGTCCTGGAACAACTTCTCTGCACGATCTTCAGGAGAGAGGGCATCAGCGTCTTTCATCAGCAAGTGTTTCTTAAAGAATTGAGTTTGTCTATTATATTGAGTACAGTAAAAGATTCTTGTTCTGGACTTCATGCTATTCCAAATTTCCTCGTTGATGTTATTAAGATAGTGATCATTATTGTCCTTGATGTTGTACTTTCATCATTTTGAGATTTTCAACTCTTCAGGGTCAACAGTTGCTTGATCCTTAGCGACTTCAAGAAACTCAAAAATGTTATTTTCCAGCAAACTGGACTAAACTTCCCTCTCTAGTTCGCTCAAAAATGAGGTAATTTTTATAAATATGGCAGAACAGTTCATCTCCAATCATGAGGCGGACATCACTCCAATGTTTCTTTTGGAAATAGCTCTTTTGAGAGGACTGATTCATTCCTTTGATAGTAGTATCTGCACGGGTTTTGACTAATTGGATACCAAATCATTGTAACTTTTTCTTATCACCTTCCTTGCTGGACTCAAGCAAGCTCTGGATACACTTCTTAATAAGGTCATCTACCTGCTCATTGCTCTTCATCTTCTGTCTCGAGGATATGTCCTTCAACTCTTGTACGTTGTAGTCTCTGTCAAAGGCCAAAATGATGTTTGAAGCAAATTTGATGAAATATTTATCACTGTTGATGTAATCTTTCCATTTATCGAGCAAGTGGTCATTATCAGCCATCTCTATTAAGAAATCTAGTAAGGTCTTGCACCATGAAATCTCTTTAGATGTTTTCAGTGCAGGGTGGATCTCATCTCTTGGTGCATTATCAATAGCAGCCAGACTTGGGTTGATGTCTTTATCAGGTAAGCTTGGCTCCTTGTCTTCCATTTTTTGAAAATTAAATATTTTTAGCTTTATAAATAAGAATAAAGTTTCGAATATTTAGCTCCAGAGATAAAAATTACACTTGTTCTAGTAAAATCTAAAATTGGTTATTTATTAAAGAAGAACTCTTAATTTCATCCTCATCAGAACAAGGCCTTAATTAAACATTGCAAATTTCCGAAATAATGTAATAATCCAAAGCAGCAGATTTTAATTTATCATGCTGTTAGAATAAAGAAACCTTTACACTTTCCTACTCACTTGAATAAATTCTTAATGCATCATACCAACTATTAAATATCTCTTTAAAACTTCGTTCTTTACCCATCTTGACGTCGAACTCATTAACTTTAGGCCATAAAATTTTCAATTTTTACTTAGAAAAATGGGGTTTTGGGGTTTTGGGGTTTTGGGGG